ATGCAATTTGTATACTGCCTATAACCTTAATTTATATCAACACACGTGGAATGTTGGAAGTTTAAAATTGAACTTCTTTCATGTTAAATAGTGCTGAGAAGTGTGAAAGTGTATAAGTGGTAAATACCTAATATAAAAGTAAGTATTTTGTACTAAACAGTTAATCATTGCATGTTCAAGATATGAAACATCATTTCGTTTAAGTTTGTATACAAGGTTCAGGGTGTAATAACTGATGTGCTTTATTTAAAATATTAAGTAAGTAAAGCAAGATAAACTTTTTCAAAGATATTAATATTTTGTTTGCCATTTATCACTATTACTCATTTTGTAATGCACTTATCTGTAATATTGTGAGTATGATAATGAGTAACATAACCTTAAAAAATTAATAGATGCGTCGTAAAAATCTAATGTTAAATCCAAACAATCATTGTTATGCAAATTATATTGAATAACGTACAAATTATAATGAGTATCATTGAATAATATGAGTAAATATTGGAAATGTACATTTAGGACAAAAAATGGCTTTAATTAATCAGAAATCTAGCAGCTTCAGTCTTTTACATACTCGTTTATTCTGTTTACAATATATATAGTTGAAGATGACTCTATTATATCTAAATTGCATGTCTAAATTCTGCTATAATTTACAACTAAATGTAAGTGTCCGAAAAATATATACATAGAAAAAGTAAATATGTAGTTCATTTGGTAAGGAAGAAATCTGCTATCATTCATCAGTATCAGAATATCGACGAACTGTACAAAAACATCATCCGTTTCGCGTTTGAGATGGAACAAAATGTCGTTTTACTGGCACCATAATTAGTAATAAGGCAAGGGGTTCAAAGAGAAAGAGGGGTATGTATCTCTGAGCGGGAAATACGATTGAAAGGCGGATTGAAGGAGGAGGATAGAGAAAGGGGGAAAGAAAAATAAGAGAAGGGGAGAAGCGACTGTACCAGGGGGCGGTTGACAACATGGATTTCGCCATAATGGTAATATCGATGATAATGAGAACAGCACACGCGGTTTTTCGGGCACTGTCCGTTCGATGGTTTATTTATTGATAAACTGTGATACGGACATCGATGGAATTTTATCTCGGCGAATACGGAACAGCGTCCCCAACGCCGACATATTGGATTACAAAATAAAGCACGTTCGAAGATCCGGCGGGACATAACGTAAAGCATTTCATTGCTCGTTGTGCTTCCTGATAAATCGTAAAATGTTGTATAGAATGTAATGTGATCATCATCGAATTAACGGCGATGCGGATTTGAGGGAAATGAACAAAAAAGTGTCCAAGGCACACGACAGAGCATGAAGTTTGGGATACTTATTCAGGTACTCACATGGCGACTGCGCAGTCACACCTATCACGTTTTCGAACACGCCGTAGACACTCTCACTGCGCGATTTCGCCGTAGAATTGACCAATCTTTCAATTATACACTTAGATGTTTTGAACGCCTTTAAAAAACGCTACACGCGTTTTAAATAAAGTTTTACTGAACGTTGACGTCGCAAGGTTTTGTAAGCAATCGTAGTCGCATTCGTTGTCTGCTTCCCTGCTCCCACACGATCTACAGAACCCCTCGCTTCTCTTGTTTCTCCCACTCTTCGCTGCCCTTCTTCCTGCCTGATCCCCACCGTTTCGATTCCAATAACCCTTACCTCTCCCATCGCGTACGGCAAACTCTACCTCTCATTGGTTCAGCGAGGACAAATCCCAAAGGCATCGTTCGCACCGTGAAAGGCGGGGCCACTGGATATGGTGGCTACAGGCGCATGCCCCGTAACGGTACTCATACTCTTACTCGAACCCATACTTGCACCCTCTTCACCAACACAATCAGATGCAGCTCTGTGCACGTATACGTGATTATAGTCCGCAGAATATTTCGCAGCATAACCCCACGATACCATCAGGAACGTATATAGTTGCTTTGTTACCTTGTTGCACTTCCATAATTAAGGGATGCTTTCGTGTATTACAGTAGAATTCTATATTTTCCTACTTCTATTTATATTGAGATACTAGATAAATTGATATATTAATTCTTAGTTCATGCATGTTTCGATTATACAAAACTTTTTATCCCTCTTTGGGACAT